ATATATATATATATGTATATATATTAGGCGAAAATAAAGGAATCGAATTCTTTTTAAAAGTGAGATTTGAATCAAATTCTAGATAAATTTACTTGAAAAACACAATCGCAGGAGTATCTTCTGCAACCGAGCACACACATTAACCTTGATAAACGTACCACATACATAATTGCACTTCTGAAATTCTTTGATTATATATTCGTGATTTTTCTGCATTAAATACTCCTAATAAAATTTCACGCGGCAATCGCAAGACGACATAAATAATGACATGACGTCATTCGGCGACATGTTCATTAGTCTCTGATGAAAAGCAGAGCCTTGACATATGAATATACAATGTTGAAATTCACATCGCGCTCGCTCAGCCTCATTCATCTTTGCATGCGTCAGCTGCTGCTGGCAATTTCTCAAATGCCACGTATTAAGCGCAGTGGCAATGCAGGTCGAATGCAATAGTCACGCTAACATAGCTCCTGCCGCGCTTTACATTCCCAAGTCGAAATCAATAAAATCGGAATAGGTGGAGGAGATGCAGGCCCAATCTAATGTACATCTAGTTATTGTCTATTGAGCTGCGAAGCTATGCAAAGCTAGCAGGCTAGGCAGCCTGGTTATACAGAGCGAAAAATCTTAAATGTCAAACGCACACAGATGAAATGTTTTGCTCGCAACGAAATTGTCAAAGTATTGCCCATTATTTCAACACTTGTTGTCTATATGTATATAATCAAGAGCTAACAATACCTTAGCTAATTATTAGCCTATTAACAGCTTAGATTATAGCGTATAATCAGCTCTTGATACAATACAGAATTCTGCACGCACACACGCCACTCACGCACACATCCACAGACAAAGTCATATGGAAAGCTATGAGCGTCATAATCTACCCGTCTTATTCGCGTTGAAAACATATTTTAATTACATCCGAGTTCAGGCAACAAGCTCTACAATCTATAGTTATTTACACTGGATGTATGATAAAATGTATAATGGAACAGATAGGACTTGCCTGACTGTGCCCGTATTACACTTATCACACAGTTTCAACATTTTAGCAGAACTAATAATATTTACCTCGAATGAATCCGTCTTTTGTCATGGGAATATTACCTCAGCAATAACCGCCATCTACAGCTACCTGCTAGGATGTTTAATACCCTAGCTATAGGCGCTCCAGAACAGGTGGTGGCGCGTCTCATGGTTCAGGTTGTTGGAGGCATCAAAGTCCGTAGCTGTTAACAAATACACAAATACGCCGCCGGCTCTGTCGCTGTTAGTGGTGAGCACACACACACACACACACACACACACACACACACACACACACACACACACACACACACACACACACACACACACACACACACACACACACACACACACACACACACTATATATATATAATATATATTTTATAATATATATCTATACAATAATAGTATATATATTATATGATATATATATATATACTATAATTATACTAGCAGGACATACCGGCGTTGACCTGCGAATATAACGCACTCGTATGGGCTGCACCATTTGGTTGATAAGAAAAATACCCAAGACAAATCTATCTATCTTCTACTCTATCTTCCATCTATTCATCATCATCTATTGAATTCATCCATCCATCCATACCATCACTCCAATTATCCTATTCTAGTCTATCTAATCCTTATCTATTTCTGAGTTTCCTATCCTATTATATATCTTATCTTATACTATTATCTAATCTATCATATCTATTCTATCTATCTATCATATCTATCTATCTATCTTATCTATCCTATCTACAGTCCTCTAGTCAATTATCTATCTATCTCACTCTATCTATCATATCTATCTATTCTGTATTATATATATACTATATATATAAATCCAACTCTAATCTATCTAGTTATGTAGATATTTTTTAATATTTATGTATTGTATGTATGTATGTATGATGATTATGTTATGTATGTATGTAAATGTATGTATGTACTGTATGTATGTATGAATAGTACTGTATGTATGTTATGTATGTATGTATGTATGTATGTTATGTAATGTATTGTATGATATGTTATTGTATGTATTGTATGCTAATGTCATGCTATGTACTGTATTTGTGGGTGTGTGTGTGGTGTGTGTGCTGTGATGTGTGACTGCTGTGGCGCGCGATTGAGTCGTGTGTGTGTGTTGTGTGTATGTATGTTATGTATGTATGTATTATGCTATGGTATTGTCATTGTTATGTGTGGTGTGTGTGTGTGTGTGTGGTGTAGCTTTGTGTGTGTGTAGGTGTGTGCTGTTGTGTATGTATTGTATCGCGTATGTATGTATGTATGTATGTATGTTTATGTTATGTATGTATGTATGTACTGTAATGTAATGTATTGTATGTATGATATGTATGCTAATGTGTATGTATGTATTATGTAGTATGTATGTCATGTATAGTATGTTACTGTATGTATCGTATGTACATGTATGTATGTATGTATGTAGCTGTATGTATGTATGTATGTATGTATGTTAATGTATGTATGTATAGTATGTATGTATGTATGTATGTATGTATGTATGTTATGTATGTATGTTATGTATGGTTATGTATGTATGTAATGTATGTACTTGTATTGTATGTATGCTATGTATGTATGTATGTATGTATGTATGTATGTATGTATGTATGTTGTATGTTATGTATGTATGTATGTATGTATGTATGTATGTATGTATGCTATGTATTGTATGTTAGTTGTATTGGTAATGTATGCTATGTATGTATGTATGTATGTCATGTATGTATGTACTTGTATGTATGCTATGTATGTATGTATCTAATCTTATCTACTCTAATAGTCATGATGGTAGTTATGTAAGTAGTGATGTATTCTGGTCAATTGTTATTACGATAATGCCCACTTAAATGTTTCTATTATTACCACAATGTATGCCACAATATTTACACTGTATGTTTCACGCTGTCACTTCACTTTTTTGTCTACACCATGCTTAAGCACAATATTGCTACGACGACTCTACACGCACATATTTTAAATGCAATTGTTTAGTTGTTTTTACGCACGCTTTGTCAAGTGCCACTACCACCGTTTTCGTACTTAATGTAATTACGTATTATGTATGATGTTATGAATTTTATGTATTATGTTTTGCACATGGGACTAACCTATCAATCTTCTCGAGCACCTTCAGCAGTCATGCGATGGAGGCGGACATTCAGCGCCAACTTGGCTACAGGAAGGCAGGCGCCTAACCCAAGGATCGGTGGCAGAGACGCGATTGCACGTTTTGTCGGTCACGATAAGCGACCGGCAAACGAGCACTCGTAGTCGACAACGATCTGTAGCCTCGGGACGTCCAAACGCATGGCCCGAGCCTCACAAGGAGAGCCGCCCGCATAAACGATTTCTGTGCGCAGAGTCAGCTTGCCCTTACCTTGAATCGAGCGGCTGCTCACCGCCACCGCACGACAACGTGAAGCCACGGCACCACCGTCGGCGGCCACCGGATCTCCCCATCCGATATACACCTGTGGATAACTGTCGCGAACCGATTTAGTCGCATACTACCGGTCGGTTCACCCATCTCGAGGCCACGCCACCCACCCATCCCATGGCGGCGCGTGTCCGGAAGACAGCTTGCGCCGACAGCAACTGGAAAACACTTTAAGGATGAAGTGCTTCCGCTTTCAGGCGCGATTACCGGGATTCAACAATTGCGGTGCGGCGGTGAACGGGCTCGTCCTCACCCTCCAATGAAACTACCAATAGCTGGGTTGCCCGAGGGTGAGCTGGACACGACGCTCCAGTGGCGATTGACGACGGGAGGGAGAAGAAGATGAAGAAGAGGAGAGACTCTTCTACACCGGCTACCACACGCAGGACCCCACGGTGAGACGGGACAACCAACCATCCAACGGACCACGAGGACACGAGCACAACGTAGGACCCACGACATGACGGCAGAGGACCCCATTGATGACGGCGCAGTGACCACGATGACGGCAGGACCCACGAGACGTACACGACGACGACGGTGCAACGCCAGATTAGTTAACAATTTTTGTGTTGTGTGTATCGGTTGTTCTTGTATTTGTATTGTGGAAGATAGATTAATTAAGTTGGTTAGTTAAGGAGCGGGTGATGGGGTTGCATTGAAATAAAAAGGAAACAATTTTTACAGAAAATCAAATATAAAATACAGAACGAAAAATTCACTAAGAAAAATAATAATTAAAAATTCATTATTAAATACGATATTCAATTACAAACCTACATTTAAGCCGTTCCAAAGTTGTTGCGCGTATCACTGGGCTTCAACTTGTCGGTTTATATTGGGGGGATAATGTTATACAGCTTCGAACTGGACGATATAAGTTAAAATAGCTAGGATAACCATTGTTCGGGCTGGGCATAATATGAACAAGCGCAGTGTTAAAGTCGCTAACGCGAGGTAGACAGGATAGAAACAAGTAGGCCAATTGTTAGACAGGCATGTAGGGGACTGTTGGAGAGACAATAGGTAAGGAGTGCTTCTACCTATTGCAGTATTATAACAGCTGTGTTCGGCGCCAGAGACACAGGGAGAGCGATAGTGTTACGCAAACTACATGGCATAGACGATAATTCGGTTTGAGAACAGCTACTGCACCAGCATAAACCTTCGTAAGTTAATGGTGAGGTTTTAGCTCGGCGTACATAGACTGTACGCCATTCGCCATGTTATGGGCGGATGCTAGTTAGTATCACGCTATTATAAGATATTCATGAATACTGTTACATACTATTCTGTTATGTCTGTTATTATCTGCATTTCATCATAGACGTAGCAAGGGGTAGTTCAGTCAACACACTCACGCGTAACCACTGATGCGGTCACAGCGTAGCAAATGATGTCATACCTTATTATATCTATCTAATTTTAATCTAATCCACTTATTTGTTCTATCGTTCTAATCTATCTATCTATCTATCTATCCTTTTATCTATCTATCTATCTATCTATCTTACTATTATCTTATCTATCTAGTCTATCTATCTATCTATTAATCTATTAATGCTATCTATTTCTAGTCTATCTATTTCTATCATAATCTATCTTATCTAATTATATATTTCTATTTCTATCTATCTTCATCCATTCCATCCATCCCATCCATTCCATCCGTCTCATCTAATCTATCTATCTATCTATCTATCTATCTATCTATCTATCTTAATTTATCAATATTTATCTATTATCTACTCTATTTTATTTATTTATCGACTCGATTCATCTATCTATCCTATCTCAGTTTATTGTATCGCTATTTATGATATGTTATGTATGTATGGTATGTACATGTTATCTGTATAGTATGCCCTATGTTGTTATGCTATGTATGTATGTATGTTATGTATGTTGTACTGTATGTTATGTATGTATGCTATAGTGGATGTTATGTATGTATGTAGTGATATGTATTGTATGTATGTATGTATGTATGTATGTATGTAATTGTATGTATGTATTGTATTTTATGTACGTACGTACGTTAACGTAACGTACGTATGTATGTATCTTATCTATTCTATCATATTCCATCCATTCATTCCATGCATTCCATCCATCTTATCAAATCTTATCTATTCTATCTAATCTAAGTCTATCTATCTTCTATTCTATCTATTTATCTAACTATCTATCTATCATATCTATCTATCGATCTAATCGCATCTATCTATCTATATATATATTTATTATCTATTCTATCTATTTATCTATCATATCTAATTCTAATTCATATTATCTATCTATTCTTATCTATCTATCTTATCTATCTATCGTATCTATCATATTATCTATCTATTATCTATCTATCTTATCGTATCTTCTATCTATCTACTATCCTACTCTATCTATCAATCTATCTTATCTATCTATCTATCTACTCTATCTATTCTTATCTATCTATCTAGTCTATCTATTTCTATCTATTCTATCTATCAATTCGAAGTCATTATCTTCTATCTATCTATTCTATCTACTCTATCTATCTATTATCTATATCTATCTATCTATCTATCTATCTGATCTATCTATTTATCTGATGTCATGTATCTTATGTTATCTACGTATCTATATATCTTATTCTATCTATATATCTATAC